AATTGAAGGAGAAGATTGGTTCATGTTGGCAGAAGGTAATTTATAACTATCCATGGGATGTCCAGAGGAAGATGTTGAGAGTGCAGGTGAATATATTCATGTGAAGCCATAGGAGAGGTGAGGGCAAGAAATAGGGATTATGAGTTTAAAGTGCAAACAAAACAAAAGTAGAGAAGAAAATAAAAAGAAATAGTCCAAGAGGCACCAAGATAATCAGGGCAAACAAATGGAGGAAAACCTTACAAGGAACAAAAGCTCAGCAGTGTTGACTGGAATATAGTGTGATACAGTCACAAAAGGATGGAAATGCATTTTATTAAATTTAGTACCCAAAGGCTTTTAATTTCCTTGCAAAGAATATTTTGAATTCAGGCATGGAGAAAGAAACTAGACTGTTAAATTTTAAAATGTCATTAGATGCAGAGAACTGGACTCAGAAAAATGTATGATAAATTTTCAGTAATTTTGATTGAGAAAAGAAAAAACAGTCGGGAGTTGGTATTGTAAATAAGGAATTTGTTTTATTTTATTTTGTTTTGTTTTATTTTTATTTCAGAAATGGATATACTCATATCAAATGGGGGGGTGATTATGTAATAGAAATGGGGCTCTTTATTTGGAGCAATGTCTGTAAGGAGGTGAGTAGCAAAATTACCAAAAGCACAGGCATCCTGAAATAGACTCATAGATGTAGGGGACAAGATCCCACAGCAGGTCAGTTTCTTACTTTGGGATCTATTTTCTTCCATACTTAAAATAATTACAATTTCATAGGTAAAATTCAGTCCCTATCAAGCTATAAATCCTTCAGGTTCTCACAGTCCTTCTTACGATAACATCAGATTTCTTGCCCAGAGTCTTGCTTGTGCATTTGAATTTCATTTAAATTTTGAGAAAATACTGCCCTATATAACCATGATTCCCCTTATCTTCATATGTATTATCAATTTATTTTGAATTTTCTCTCGCTATTAAAGAAAAATAAAGGCCATTACTCAATGCTCCAAATAAAAGTGTGAAAGTGACTTTAGGCAGTTTAAAGATGGTGGAGATAGGCACTGAATGTATTCTAATTGAAAGCATTTTTGAAATAATTTCTGGTAAGCAAAATGGCTCAGCATTCTTTCTGTCTTTCTCTTTCTTTGTCTCCGTCTGACTCTTAATTAACTACTCCTCTCTCTGAATTTTTATCTTAATTTTAAAAAATTAAAAACAGAAAAATCCAGAAGACAAACCATAAGGCAATCCTCTAAAAGTCCCAGAGCTCAGTCTTAAGACCTCTTCTTTGCTCTATCAACATTTAATTTGATTAAGAAACTGCCACCTGTTTTAACACATAAATCCTGATTTCTTAGCAATTTCACAAAAGAAGTCTTGTTGGAGATTTCCAAAGTGGAAGTGAAGCAAAAGCTGTTGCCACCTACCAGCTTGCTTCCTTCATTGATACGAGGCAGTGGCAGGGCCTGCAATTCCTTTATTGTCCCCTTATTTCTCAAATTCCTGGATGC